GAATTGTTTGTGCCATACATGGATCCTAGTGATGCTTGGTACTTCAAGACCTACATGGATGCTGGGGAATATGGGTTTGGGTTACAGGCTATGCCACTTGACCCGCTTAACGATTGTCCAAGGAATGCCTACTATATGGATGGTGTCTTTGCAGCTGCCGATGGAACACCGTATGTCCGATCCAACATGGTTTGTGTGTTTGAGAGTTATGCAGGTGACATTGGATGGAGACACTCTGAGAGCCCAATCACTGGCATGGAGGTAACATAGATCGTCTTATTTTCATATAATCCTCCTTCATTTTTATACTGTCATTGCACATTACGAAACTTGAAAATTATAGTAAAAATCTTGTGGGCTACGTTGTGCGAATGTATGGCGCAAAGCATATTATATGTAGTAGGCTAGTTGTACGTCAATTTTCTCGACACATCTAGCTGTTCTTGTTAGCACTGGACTTGTATTGATTTCTTTTGTTGGACTTATTGGCAGATTCGAGAGGTAAGGCCGAAAGTGACATTGGTGGTGAGGATGGCAGCATCGGTTGCCAACTATGATTATATAGTAGATTGGGAGTTCCAAACCGATGGGCTTGTTAGAATTAAGGTAAGTTTGAATTGTATACATATCTCTCTCTTTTCACAAGTTTCTCTATCAGTCATTTTCACAAGTTGGAAATATCTTCCTTTATAATCTCATTTCATAAGCTGCCAAAATTAGAAAAATCGTTGGCAAAGAATCTGTTTCACTGTCACGATAAGAAATTTTACCTAAACCTTGTTTGAGCCCCATTTTGGGTTAAAAATGTATTTTGAAATAGTGACTTTTTGGAAAATGTGTGATTGAAAAATAAGGATTTTTTTTTTTATTTACGTTTAATATTATTTTATTGAATATTGTGAGGTTGCAAAGAAGAAAGAGAAAAATGTATTTTGATAAGAGTTATGCTCAAACAAGGGCCTAATCCCATCACCATTGAGTGGGAGATTTGACTAATTTGTAGTCAATGTATAAAAAACATAGGGGTTCTTGTAGTGTCTTGATATCGAAAATTTCTTGATATTCAGTGAACATGACGAGTAGATTGCCTTTTGTTAAATATCACAATTATCTTCCTGTTTCCAGAAACTTGTTGGGTTTAATTTTACATTCTATTGACATCAATAACACATTTTGCCCAATAGAAAAACGAAAATTTAATCAAGTGCCTGTTTATAAAGCTTTTTTCTCCATTAATTTTGTCTTACACCATGTTTGATAACCTTGATTTTTCATGGAAAATGTTTTCCATTTCCACCCAATTTGTGTTGTTTGATTGCTAAAAATTTTCATGGAATTTGTTTTCCAACTTCCCTCCACACGTGCCAATTCCATGGTTTTGTGGAAATTTAATTTTTAAATTTTTTTTTTGACAATTGGAACAAATTCTATTCCCAATTGTAACAAATTTTGTCCATTTAGTTGACAATTTTCATGAAAAACAAAGTTAAACGAACACCAAAAGATAAAAAATTTCAACATTTTTTTGGTAGAAAATTATACTAATAAAACGCATTAAATTGCCAATTTCCAGTAAAACAAGTTTTAGGCAATTCAATTTCCTGGAATTCGTTTTCTTTCCACCCAAATTCCATCCTTACAATCAAACGGACCCTTAGTGCTTTGTTGTATTTCCTTGTGTACACTGTTTCCTAGGTTGGCCTTAGTGGAATACTGATGGTGAAAGGCACTCCTTATGTCAACACGAACCAAGTAAACGAACAAGAAAACCTCCATGGAACTCTCTTGTCTGAAAATGTCATTGGTGTCATCCATGATCACTACATAACATTCCACCTTGACATGGACATCGACGGCTCAGATAATTCCTTTGTAAACGTTCATCTCCAACGAGAACATACCTTACCTGGAGAATCTCCGAGAATGAGCTACCTGAAAGCGGTAAGAAACGTAGCAAAGACTGAAAACGATGCGAAGATTAAGCTCAAGTTGTATGATCCATCAGAATTCCACATCATTAATCCAGGCAAGACAACGTGGGTTGGAAATCCAGTGGGCTATAAGGTGGTACCTGGTGGCACAGCAGCTAATTTGCTTGATCCGAACGATCCTCCACAAAAGAGAGGTGCTTTTACCAACAACCAAATTTGGGTTACTCCATATAACAAGAGTGAGCAATGGGCTGGTGGTTTGTTTGTTTACCAGAGTCATGGCGATGACACCTTGGAAGAATGGTCTCAAAGGTACCAAATTCTTTTATGACCTTGTACTTTTTCATTTTCTCCGAAAACTATGACTTGATATAAAAAATTTGTTAACAATTGTCTTTGTTGTCCAGCTAGGCAAAATCAGTCAAGACTTTTCTGTCTTTCCTTTGAATCTTAGGGCTCGTTTGGCTGGACTTTCAAAAAGTCAAAAGTTACTTTTGAGAGTAAAAAGTTGCTTTTGAATATACTTAGATAATTTTTTGAAAGTGTTTTGTCTAACTAGAAGAAGTTTTAGAGCTAGCTTTCTTATAAAGCTTTTCAACAAAAAGCAGAAATCTTGATTTGGTATTTTTAAGAAGTGCATCTCAAATGCATAACTAGTTTAACATTACACGATTTTGCTGGTTGGCACGTAGTTTCTTTCTCTGTCTCCTCATTTACATTTCCAATATTCATACAGAACAAAAATGGCAATGCTTTGAACTCTAAATGCGAATGTTGATATCAAGATTTAGGTGTTAGATATCACCTCGTACTTGTCTCTATATTGGTTAATCAATTTTTAACCTTTTCTTCTTCTTCTTTTTTTTTTTTTTTTTGGGTCAGGGATGATCCAATTGAGAACAAGGACATTGTCTTATGGTATACATTGGGATTTCATCACATTCCATGTCAAGAAGATTTTCCCATAATGCCAACTGTATCCTCAAGCTTTGATTTGAAGCCTGTGAATTTCTTTGACAGCAATCCTATTCTTAGGATCCCACCAAATGTTGAGAAGGATCTTCCCATTTGCAAAGCTGCTTCTGCTGCTTCAGCTTGATAAAATCTATCCAATTCACCCTTCCGAACCCTATCACACAATATCTAACATGTAGTCGTGATGGGAGCGGCGAAGATGGATCTGTATATATAGTTTCCTGATCTGGATGTATAAGACTTTTGATCTATTGTAACTAGATTATTCTAGGGGTACCTAAGGGGTATCGAAGTGTGTCCATTATGTTGGAGGGGCCCTTCGGTACATGGTGATGTACGACTAGAATAATCCATTGTAAAATATATGTATTTCTGGTGCAATAAATATATTTAGTTTTATATTAAGTGAATCAATTCGAGACGTTCGAACACAAACGAAATGATTTTCTTTTATGTGGACATGTTTGTTTAGCATTGAGTATTTTTGTCCACCCCATGAAGGGCTCGTCTATTGGAAGCTTATATTTCTAATTCTTGTATGAGAGCTTTTTGAAGAAGCAACGTTAGATCAAATTTTCTATAATTAATAATTTTTATGCAAATAAATTTTAGGCAATTCAATTATCTAGAATTATTCTCTTTTCATGCAAGTTTTATACTTGCAATCAAACATTTCCTAAAAGCTCTTGCACCTAGATAATGCGCTTCGAAAAAATTATATAAACATGTTTAAAAGTAATTTTGCAATTTTAGAAACAATTTTTTATTTTTTAAGAGTTAATTTTTGTTCTTTTGTGAGGTTGTAACTTAGATGGAACAAGTTATTTTAACAGATTTTTTTTGTCCACCTACTTGACAAACACAATCTTGGCAGCAGATGATTGTGTGTAAATGTTGATTATTTTTTAAACAATTCAATGATAGGATATCACACGACATTTTGTCAAGGAAGTGGATAAATAATTCTGAAAATGTAGCATGATTCAATATAGATAGTAAATTCAGTATTCAATATTTAAAATATTTTATAGCCAAAACATAATAGATTATTACTAATCTCAAGAAATAATCTCTTTATTTTTGTTAAGTTTTACTAAGCCTCTGTTTAATGGTCAGTATTTTGAGGAAATGAAGTTTTGGATAGCGATTTTTTGAAGAATATATAACTCCCGTTTGGTAGTAATTTTTCATCCCCAAAAATTAATTTTTTTATCATTATTTTACTATTTAAGCTTTCATTTTTTACTTCTTCATTTATAGATGGAATCCATTTCTCTCTCTAGCGATCAAAAAATCAATTCTCATAATCAATATCGAACAGGCCCATAGTTAAAAAGTAGGAAAAATTTGTAAGTTTACGTGCAAAATATTTTATTTTAAGAATGTATGGTTGAAAATGAGTATGTGAAAAAAAATGAGTTTTGAAAAAATGATTATAAATCATACTTTAAAATATAAAGTCATAATTAAATTAAATGAATCAACTGTCATTTAAATTTAATAATTTATTGCTAGGAAACTTTAATTGATTAAATTATAGCAATTTATCAATTAGATTACTAATAAATGAAGATGACTGATTTTGTTTCTTCATTTTTTGTTTAATTATTTATTTAATATAAAAATTTAAAGTTGGAATTAGGTCGAAGTCAGGTTTTTGGTCAACCGACGGTGTATTTGACAGATTCTGTTAATTTGTCTTTGTGCCGTGACAAAATTAAAAGGTTTGGACTGTGGTGCCACAAAGTCAAGGTTGAGATGAAGTCTGCCAAAAGGATAAAGGTTTAGGACCGCAGTTGCAATTACCTCATTATAAACCCACCCCCACCGCCCAACCCGGGTCTGGACGTTCTCCACGTCTCCCCCTGTCGCTCTCTCGGGAAACTCTCTAGTCGTCCCCCACCGATTTCCACTTCGAAACTCACCGGAACTATAATCAAAATCAACGTCTAGCTTTATCGATCTCTCATTCGTTACATTTCCACCGCTGGGAGAATGGAAATTCTGAGAGGCGACTCTTCCAAAACCACCGCTGCTACTGCGGTGCCCGGAAACGATGAAGACGTACGCCGAAATCGAATTCGATCAAGCAAACTCTACCTCGACGTGATTCCTTCTAAGGTGACTCACAAATATCTAGATAGTTTTTGTTGAACTTCCTCGTGTAAAAGCGGTATCTGACTATCACACCAGAATAACTAATTCCTGTCGAACATGTTGCACTACAAAATACAGGTTCCTTTAATTTATTCGTCTTCATACGATATCTGCTTCATGGGAATGGAAAAGCTGTAAGTAATTTTTTTGTCCTTTTTTTTTTTTTTTTTAATTTTATCAATTGGATTGGTGAGAAAATAATTGTCCCGAAAAACCGGAAAACTAAGCTGGGAATTTATTAGTAGTGTGAAAATTTCATGGATAACACACAAATGTCTTTAACTTTGGTGGAACAAATAGAAAATTAAAGGGATTCATTGTGGAATATAGGGAGGTTAAATTTGGAAGAGAACACTTGATCAAGTATGTGAGATTAGTATTTTTAATATTGTAAAATTTAATTCATTGAGCAGATTACCATAGTTAGATTTTATATTTCCATCTTGAAAGAATTATCCTTGATATGCCTTATTAACAAATAATGAAGGTTGTTTAAAACATTAAGGATCTATTTGATTGCAAATGTGGGAAAGGTAAACATGGAATTTAAGTTGGAAAAGAAAAATCACCAAAACCGTAGGAATGCATTTTCCATGGAATTGGTCAAAAACATGCTTTAAGTATTTCAACCCTGTAATTCGACCTCCATTTCCACTTTCGTATCAAACAGCAAAGTAGAAAATGAATTCTTCGGATATGACATTTTCCATGGAATTCACTCCAATCAAACGGAGCCTAATGTCTTTGAAAATGAAAGTTCACCGATTAAGTCAATGGTTTTCTTGTCATAAAATCCTGGTTACCACACTCAGGTAGGTTATGTGTGAAAGGAATATTCAATAGATCGTATAGGGGCGACGAATGAGGTGGGTTGATTGACAATTGACAGGTGGAAAAATGGCTAAAACAGGAAGTGATGCTTTAAGTATTTCTACCTTGAAATTCGAACTCCATTTCCACTTTCGTATCAAATAGCTAAAGTAAAAAAACGAATTCCTTGGAAGTGACATTTTCCATGGAATTCACTCCAATCAAACGGAGCCTAATGTCTTTGAAAATGAAAGTTCACCGATTAAGTCAATGGTTTTCCTGTCATAAAATCCTGATTACCGCTCTCAAGTAGGTCATGTGTGAAAGGAATATTCAATAGATTGCGTAGGGGTGACGAATGAGGTGGGTTGATTGACAGCTCACAGGTGGAAAAATGGCTAAAAAAGGAAACATTCACTTTTTGTATTTTGCCTCTATAGTATTTTTGCCGAGATGGATTTCTATCTTATTTACGGAAAGTGTGCAATCTTGGCTTTTCAATTTCAGGCATCCTTTTGACTCTTCTAAATGGGGTCGCATCTGCCGCTTTCTTATTTCAGAAGGTTTTCTGGACAAAAAGAACATAGTTGAACCTCTGGAGGCTACAAAAGATGATCTTCGAGTGGTATTCATTCTTTGTTGAGATTCTTGACTTGCATGCTTC